AAGGTGGTCCAGGCAGAGGGCCAGCAAGGACAAAGGCCCTGGCTCAGGATTGGTGCTGGTGAGTTTGTGAGAAGAGCAAAGGGGCCGTGAAGTCGGTCGTGGGAGGGGGATCGTAGGGTGGGGTGTAGGTGAGCCTCGTGGTCACAGTCAAGACAGGGACTTCCGGGCTTTTATTCTGAGTGAAGGGGCCTTTGGAGGCTCCCTGGCGGCCGAGGGGCAGTGGCGGAGCAGTGTGACAGGGACCCGTGGCAGGATCCCTCTGGCTGCCGGGCTGGGGCAGATTGGGGTCCAAGAGGGCGGAGACAAGGAGGCCAGTCAATGCTGTTGCAAACTTCCAGGTGACAGGTGAGGTGGGGGCTTGAGCACATCAGCAGGTGGAGGATGGGCCTCAGCAAAGGCTCAGTCTCCGCCTCCCTGGGGCCTGTTCTTTCTGGGGCCATGGACTCGCCGGGCTCCTGAGGGGCTGTGATGTCTGCAGCTGCAGTTGGCATTCCTGCCGTACTTCGCTTTAGATGCCAAGACAAAACCCTTGCACGCTGGGTGTGAGTCAGGCAGCCTCTCAGCGTGGCCCCCTGCTCCCTGTTCTGGCTCAGCTCTGCCTGGCAGTGTGCTCGCCGACGGGCTGTGCAGGCAGCTGGGGCCTGTGGAGGGTGGCATTTGTAAGTGGGATGGCAGCAGGAATCGCTCAGATTGAACGTGGCAAGGCTGTGGGTGCCTGGGGTAGAGCTGGAGCAGAAGACAGCTCCCAGTGTCTCGGCTCTGACAGCTTTCAGCTCACAGCTGTCAGAGCCATGAGGTGTCTGAGCAAATGAGACAGTCAACTAACAGTCATCTCACAGGCCCCGTCACTCAGCAGCGGAGGGAGAGGAGTCGTTGGGGGATCATTCGTTCATTCAGAAACCACTTAGGAGGGCCTTCCATGTGCCAGGGACCACGCTGAATGCTGGCAAAGAGATGTCACCCTCAGAGGTCACGGGGGTGGAGGAGACAGTAAATACATAGATATGCAAACAGTCTGAAATGCTCCAAAGGTCGTAATCTGGGAATGTGAGCAGAGTGGGCGCTCCATGGATAGAAAGTCATGTCCTCCCAGAGGAGGTCCCACCTAAGCTGAGACCTGGAGTGGGAGAGGAGCCAGCCTGCCACTCAGAGACGTGGGGTGGGTGGCAGAGCACTGCTGACGGGACACACCCTGCGAGGAGACTAGTGGCCAGGAGGAGAAAGCCACGAGGGGACGAGCAGGGCCCAGAGCATGCAGGGCTCTGAAGGCCATGGGGAAAATTTGGGCCTTGGTCCTAAGAGCCATGAGAAGACTGATGATCCTACCCATCCTCCTTGGGGAGAGGGGGAGAGGAAGAGGGCAGTGGGAGGTGAGGAGGAGGGCAGTGGCTGGGGCTGCAGAGGAGTGGACAGATAGGTCCAGGGCCCACACTGCAGGCGGGCTCGCAGGGCTCACTGGTGGGCTGGTGCTAGGCACTGAGGTGGTTACCAGGTTCTGGCCTGAGGAGTGGGTGTGGTTGGCAGAGTGATGGCCCCCAGAGGTGCCTGTGTCCTCATGCCTGGGACACGTGCCATGTTACGGGGCAAAGGGGCGTGAAGGTTCCCAATCCGCTGACCCTGAGATGGGAGATGGTCCCGGGTTATCTGGTGGAGCAGTGGGACTGCTTGAGTTCTTACAGGGGCCAGAGAGATTGACGTGACATGGACTTGTCAGATGTGTGCTTGCTCGCTTTGGGACAGGAGGGGCCAGGAGCCAGGGGACGCTGGTGGCTCCAGAAGCAGGGACCTCGGTTCTACAGCCACAATAGAGTGAGTCCCGCCAACAACCTGAGTGAGCAGGAATGGGTGCTCCCCAGCCTTGCCTGCAGACGAAGGCAGCTGGCAACGCCTGGACTTCAGCCGAGACCCATCTCAGATTCTGACCTCCAGACCTTTAATACGTGTGCCGCTGAGTCGTGGTCGTTGGTCACAGCAGCCACAGAAAGCCCACGTGGGGAAGCAGGAGGGTCAGGGACGTGTGCCTGGGGGGTGTCGGGTGGGTGCGGGTGGCCCTCTGCACCTTCCCCTGCGGAGTCCTGCATCGGAGCGTGGACGGGTATCCAGGTCAGTCTTCACAGGGGGCCCCTCCCTGGGAACCTCTGCAAAGTGCTGGGAGGGCCCCTTCTCATCCCCTGCCCCCTGGGGCCCAGGAACCAGGCGGAGACCCTGCCCGTTTTCTCAGAAGTTTTGAGGTGCTGCCCAGATCAGCTCTCTTGCGCATTTTTATAAATCTGTTTCCTCGCTGTGTTTTCTGAATGGCGGCTTGGACTGCAATTTACTCCTGATTTTCTGTGTTGCAGGGAACCCCTGAGCCTGTCGCTCTGACGGGGTGGCCTGTTTCGTGGGGGTGGGCTTCCCTGGTTGCCTCTGTCAGTGGGGATGGTCGTTCTGTGCCCGGTTCCACGGAGCACCATGGGTGGGCTTCTGCTCTGCTCACAGTTCTTGTTGCTTGTTTCCCATGCTCACGTGTCACGTTGTCAACGCCTTTTATTTTGTCGGGAAGCATATTGAAAAATAAATTTAATACGAATCATATTTTTCCCTTCTTGCATACTTGTCTAATCTAGCAAATCTAGACTCTTTTGGGTGAACTTTAAGTGAGGACAAGAACGATTTTTAAAAAATAAATTTCTTCATGATTTAGATTTGTGTTTTTAATTAAAAATTTTAAATGGGAGCAGGAGGAAGTGTTTCACCCCCAGTGTTGTAAATTCAGGATCGAGGTTGTGGCTGCCGACGAGGGACCCTGCTCTCTGCTTTTTTGTTCCTAGAGGACCCCGTCTCGCCCAGCCGGCTCATGGCACGACAAGGCAGTGGCACTGTGATAGGCCAGGGAGCAGCCTTGCTCCCCTCCTTGGCTGGCCCAGTACACTCAGTCCTCCTTGGGCCGCTCACTCCTCAGGCCCTTTGGGGTGCAGCTGGGGGACCAGAAAGCGGGTCTCTGCCTGGAGGGGCTGGGCCGCACATACCCAGGCTCCTGCAGAGGTGGAGGTGTGGGGGATGCCACGTGCTGGGCCCTGGCAGTGCAGACACCACTGACCACCTGGCTCTGTCTGGAGGACCTGGGGAGAGCAGTTGTGAAGGACCGTCCCAGGTTAAGTGTTAAGTGTTCATGCCACGCCCAGATGTGGAGGTGAAGCCAGAATGGAGGTGGCGTGGACCTTGTAGTGACCTTATATTAGCGTTGCATATTGAGTGTTCCCCTTGTGCCAGGCTCCTCGCCCTAGCAACCCGGTGGGTTCTCCCAGTGCAGGTGCTGCGTGGTCCCCATTGCACAGGCCAGGGAGCTGGGCCTGCTCCAGGATTTGACTCCAATTGCGGCCCTGCCCACCCACCAACCCCAGCCTGCCATCCCTGGCCTGGCCCCCTGGCTTCTCAGGCCGGGCCGGGGATGTGCTTCCTGCACCATGATTCTGCAACTCTGGGGGCTCTTTAGGGGTGAGATGAGCAGCTTGTTCTCGGCTCTTCCTGGTGTTCCATTTGCTGACAAGAGCAGGGTATCAGGAGGCCCAGAGGGCGCAGGGCAGCCGGGCTCTTCCCATTTATGGGGGAACTCTCAGTTTGAGTTTCCCCGGTCTTTTGTTCCTCTTTTCTGGGGATTTACACAGAGCTGCCGGCCCAGGTCCCAGGGTGGAAGGCCCTGTAGCCCCAGTGGCTCAGAGGCTCCTTGTGCACTGTGAGAATGAGGGCCGGAAACGCCCCAGCCCTGCGGGGAGCACGCGCCGCCCGCCAGGCGCTGGCCAGCCCGCCTGTGTGTGCCGCTGTCCTCCCGGGCGGCGGTTCTGAGGCTGTCCTTGCCCAAGGCCCGGGGCTCCTAAGAATGAGCTGGCTTGGCGCTTAGGCTGCACTGCCCCAAACGGTCCTGGGTCTGACCCGTGGGCCTCTTCCTGGGCTTTCTTGCTTATCCTGGGCCCATCCTTCCAGGGCCTGCCGGGGGGACATTCCCAGCCTGGTGTGAGCACTGCCGGGTGGTGTGGCCGTCGTTTGCTGTCTTGCTTCTCGCACGGCCTGCGCGCAAGCTTGGCCATGCTGCTGGTGCTAGACCTCCTGAGAGGGCTCTTACGTGCGCCATGTAGCTGCTGGCCACCCGTTCCCCTGGTCCCTCAGGGGCCCCCTGCTGGTTTTGAAATGAGCTTCCTTTCAATAAACATTCCCCCTACACTCAATAGAATGACACCTGCTGGTTCCGAGGCTCACACCCAGGTGAGACAAACAGTGTTTGTTCCCGTCCTCTGGGTGAGTGCCTGGTTCTCCGCGGAAGGCCCTCAGCAGGGTGACCGGGATTGTCAGAGGGCGTGGGCCGGGCTCACATGGAGAGGAGGCAGGAGGCGGCCCTTCGAGGGTGCTCAGTGCACCTGTTCTCTTATCCTCGTGAGCACGTGTGCAGGTGGCGACGCCAGGCGCTGTGGGGCCAGGCACTGTGCTGAGGGGGCAGGGACTGGCCATGCTTCTCGCAGAGTTCAGGCAGGGCCTGGGACGGAGAGAGGGTGGGAGGCTGTGAGTCCCAGCTTTGCGGTGTCTGTAGCACAGGACAGTGTCCCCTCCAGGCGGGGGCCCTGGGCCTGTCCCACTGGTGTGGGGAGCACCAGGGCTGCCTCCCCTGCGCTGAGAAGCCGCTGTCCCCTGTGATGGCTGCAGGGGCGGGGGTGCTGTGGTCTCAGCGACTGACGCTCTGGAAGCGGGGCGCTGCTCAGTCTCTGCGCAGACACGTCTGCTGTGGACCCACTTGTGTTCTCTTCAGAACTAATGTCCATCTCAGGTTAATTTTCTGTTCCCGACCAGGCACCTGAGCCGTCGTGGCATTTGCTCTCTCAGCAGGTATGGTTTCATGAGCTGTCCTATCCGAGGAGCCTGGCAGAAGAGGTCAGGCCTGGGCCAGAGCCGCCCGACTCGCTCGCACTTACCGCTTTACGCTCAAACTGCGTCCTCACTGAGGTTCTTGCACAGCAAGGAGGAGAGCGATGGGCGGCAGCACTGGGCCTTCTGTGCGCTCCGCAGACCCTGGGCGCGCCGAGGTGAGCCGCCCGACCTGCCGGCCTCGCTCCATCGGTACCTGTGGGACCGCCCTCGCGTACGCCCTCGGTTGTTGACTAAAGTGTCGTCACGCGGCACGCGACTGCGCAGATGACCCCGAGGCACAGCGCGCACCGTCCCGTCCAGCCTGAGACAGTGTCACACCGGCCGAGCTTGGTGTGCTTTCCCTGGACCCGGCTCCCCGCCCCCCCGACGTCACTTTCTAAGCTCGCGGTTTCCTCGCCCTGCTCGTGTGTGTATCCGAAATGATAGTGTTGTTTCCATTTTTAAGACTCCCTGTAAGCGACGTCCTCTTGTGCGTGTGCGGCCGCTTTCCTGCCCGGTGTCCTGCTACGCGGCTGCCCTGTCTTGTCCTAGTGGCTGTGGCCCAGTCGTGGTGTTCATGAGTCATATCCCATGACATGTGTTTACTCCAGTTTATTCATTATGCAGCTGGCAAAGGATGTCTCGCTATTTCTAAAAAGTTAAAAAATAAAAAGGTGTGAGCACCCTGAACTGCCCCCTTGGGGACGTGTGCGGGGCGTGTACACACAGGCGGAGCTGTGTCACGTGTCTCCTCCCCGTGAGGAATCGCGAGGCTCCCCTTTAAAACGAGGAGCGACTGCCGTGCTTTACAGCACTGTAATTTATTAAGGCGTTTATTGGGTCACGTGTCTTTAAAAGAAAGATTTTGTGATCTGAAATGAGGTGGTTGCCACTTACTTTTCTAAAGTGGCTTCAGTTGACTCTACTTTTCAGCTATGCAAGACCAAGCAAAAGTGAAATTTTAATAAGACAAATGCAGTTCCTTTTAGTGTGAGGTTGAACTTTGTTGGAACGTTTTCTGCTCAATAAACACGAGTGGTGTGCCCATGAAGAATTAATGGGCGTGCTGCGGCCCGGGAGGGAGAGGCCTGCAGCCTGCGACAGTGCCGCCAGGCTCAGGGGAGCCCGCGCGAGGTGGGGGCCGCGGACGAGCCGCTCCTGGCGTGGGCCGTGGGGGCGCCGAGACACAGGAACGCGGGTGCAGCCAGGTCGGTCTCGTTGCTGAGCGCCGTTTGTACGTCCCTGTCAGTGTTCACGCTGCTGTTGTACATGCTTCTCTCACCTCACACGCGCTCTTATTCCCTTCCCGGGCGAGGAGGCTGAAGCGCACAGCAGTTACGCGGTTAACGCTGCTGGAGGTGGGACTTGAACCCAGGCCCTTTGATTCCTAAAACTGGAAACTGTCTACTGAGGGCAGGGAGGCCTCCGTGAACCCTCAGGAAAGGACCACAACTGGTGGGTTGTGCTTGATCGACGCAGGCTGATGGCTGATACTTGTTTTTTTTTCCCTTAAGAAAAAATGCTCATGGATTCTGTGGGTCAGGAACTCAGACCTGACACGGTGGGAGCGGCTGGTCTGCCCGTGATGTCTGGGTGTCAGTGGGCAGTCTGCGGGGACCCAGTGAGAGAGGAGGGCTGGTTCCCTCCCGTGTCTGGTTGATGGGCTGTCAGCTGGGCGCTTGCTCACGCCGTGCGTGCCAAGGCTCGTGCGTGGGCTCTGCTGCGTGGCTAGCGTGGTGGCTGATTCCAAGAGAGAACCCAAGAGGACCAGGCGGAAGCTAGATTGCCTTTTAAAAGTTTACATCTTTATTGAGATTCACACATAATTCACCCATTTAAATCCGCGTACAACACCGTTCAATCATCTAAAGCGTTAAATTGAGTGATACATTGGTGTATTCTACGAGTTGTGTGCCCATCCTCACTGTCAGCTTTAGAACATGCTTCTCACCTCAAAAAGAAACCCTGTCCTCTTTAGCTGTCACCCCAGGCCCCCCCCAGCCCCTCATCTATTTTCTGTCTGTAGACCCGTCTGTTCTAGGTAGTTTATAGAGACGAACCATGACTGGCTCTGTGCACTCGGCCTGCTTTCTAGCCCTTCCGTGTGTCAGCACTTCACTTTATGGTTGAGTAGCACGCTGTGTGGACCCACTACGTGCAGTTTATCCGTCTGCTGAAGGGCATTTGGGTGTTTCTCCTTTCGGCTCTTAGGGACGGTACCTGTGAACATTCCTGTGTGCGGTTTCGTGTGCCACGTGCTTTCATTTCTCTCGGGCACTCACTGGGAGTGGGGCTCCTGGGCCATGGTCACTGTGTAATGTCGGGGAACTGTCAGACTGTCCCAAAGCGGCCGCACCGGTTTGCGTCCCCGGCAGCAGGTGTACGGGCCCCGTCCTCTCCCCGTTTGCATGACACGTCATTCTCTGTCTCCTTTAGTTGAGCGTCACCTGTGTGAGGTGGCGTCTCGTTGTGGCTCTCGTTTCCTTGATGACTAAATGTTGAGCATCTTTCCATGTGCTTCCTGGCCATTTGTGTATCTTGTTTTGGAGACGTCTCTATTCAAGTCCGTTTCCCATTTTTAAATTACTTTCCTTTAGTTTTGAGTTTTAAGAGTTCTTCTTGTAGTCCAGGTGCGATCTCTTATCAGACATGTGGTTTGCACACAGTTCCTCCTGCTCCACTTTCCCGATGGTGTCCTTGGAAGCACACATGGCTTTAATTTTGACGGTGTTTCCTTTTCCTTTTTGTTATTACTGCTTCTGGCGTCCTAAGAAGCCATTGCCTAATCTCAGTTCTTAACGATGCACTCCTGTGTTTTCTGCTACGAGTCTATAGTTTTAGCTCTTACATTTAGGTCTCTGAGCTTCTGGCTAGTGATATGGCTGAAATTAGGTCTCTGGTTTTAACTTTTGTGTATGATGAGAGGCTAGCGTGCAACTTGATTCTTGTGCGTGTCAGTGTCTAGTTGTCCCAGCACATTTGTGGAAAGAGCTCCTTCCCCATTGAAGGGTCTTGGCGCCCTTGTAAACTGTCAGGCGTGAGGCTGGTCCCTGGACTGTTCCACGGATCTCTGTTTATCCTGTGCCAGCACCATGCTGACTCGATTGCTGAGGCCTTCAGTGAGCTTTGAACTCTGGAGGGGTGAGCTCTCTAGCTCTGTTCTTCAAGGTGGTTCCGGTTATTCTAGGCCCCTTGAATTCCACGTGAGTTCAGGACCAGCGTGTCCGTTCCTGCTGAGAAGATTGCATCGAACCTGTGTTGAATTTGGGGAGTATTGCAATGATATTCAGTCTTCTGATATGTGAACTTGGTTGTCTTTCCATTGATTTAGGTCTTTAATTTCTTTTCACAGTATATTTAGTTTTTAGAGTATAAGTTTTACACACCTTTTGTTGCATATATTCTTAAATGTTTCATTATTTTTGATGCTGTTATAAGTGGACTTGTTCTCTTAATTTCATTTTTGGGTTGTTCCTCGCACATGTGTAGAAATATAATTAATTTTTGTACATTTATCTTGTATCTTGAAACCTTGCTGAGTGTGTTTGTAAGTCCTGATTTTTTTAGTGGGTTTCTTAAGACTCTCTGTACACAAGGTCATGCTGTCCTGTTAGGTAGTTTTACCTCTTCCTTTCTAAGGCCTGTGCGCCTTTTATTCCGTCTTCCTGCCCAGTTGCTCTGACAGAACCTCCAGTACTGTGTGGAGTGAACGTCGAGTCCCGTCTCGTCTCTCAGCGTGAAGTCAGGCGTGAGCTGTGGGTTTTGTAGATGCTCTTGGTCAGGAGAGGACATCTCCTGTCTGGTTTGCTGCGCCTTTTTTCAGGAGGATGCTAACGTTTTTAGAATGCCTTTTCTGCGACCACTGAGACAGTCATGTGGTTTTGCCCTTTTTTCTATTAATGTGGTATTTGGTAGTAATTGCTCTTTGGTTGGTCAGCTGATACTGGATACAGCGGGTCTGAGGCCACCTGTCAGTGCTTGAGCCAAATTAAGCAGAGACAGGGTTGAGTCATTTCTGAGCGTTTATTCCAATAATGCCGGCAGTACTGGAGAGAGCAGCCGGTCATCGTGGAGATTCTGCTCTGACCCCCTTGACGGTTGGCTGAGTATATGCAGGTTAGTGGGTGGGAGGACATCAAAAGTGAGTGAGTTCCCAGGGTCTGCCTTCCTTTACTGTCCTTGCAGAGTTCAGCCCTGCAGCCCTGCCAAGATTAGCCAGGAACACTGTCCCGGCAGATGGGCTTTGTCCTTGGTCTGGGCTCTGGCTGCCTCATCTGCAGGGCCTGCTCTCCTTCTTGGAGCATCTTCCCGTTTCCCAGCGTCTGCAAGAAAATCTCTTATCTATAGTTAGTAAGGTGGATAATAATTGTTTTTAATTTTTAAATTTTATTTTTGTTTAAAATATCACAGATGTCCCTTTTTCTCCCCAATGACCCGTTCCACCCCATCCCCTCCCCCTCCCCAGTCCCTCTCCCTACCATTGTCCGTGTCCTTGGGTTGTGCATAGATGCTTATAAATTCTTTGGTTACTCTCTCCCCTCCACCCACCCGCCCTCCTCCCTCCCTCTGACATTCGTCAGCCTCATGTATGCTTCCATGTCATTGAATCTATTCTGTTCATCAGATTATTAAGTTCTTTAGATTCCACGTATAAGCGAGATCATGTGATGTTTGTCTTTCTCTGCCTGGCTTATTTCACTCAGCATAATAATCTCCAGGTCCATCCATAATGTCCCATAGAGTACGAGGTCCGTCTTCTTTACAGCTGCGTAGTGTTCCATGGTGTGAATGTCCCACAGCTTTTTTAAGGGTGGATAATTATTAAACAACTATGGTCCTGTACTTATTACGTGCCCTTCCCCCCATCAAGCCTAGCCTTGCATTCCTTGGATAAATCCCACTTTGTCATGTTGTATAAATTTTTTTTTAAATCCTCACCTGAAGATATTTTTTTCATTGCTTTTTCAGAGAGAGAGGAAGGGTGGGGAGAGAGAGAGAAAGAGAGAAACATTGACGTGAGAGAGAAACATGACTGGCTGCCTCATATATGCACCCTGAGTGGGGATCGAACCTGAAACCCAGGTATGGGCCCAAATTGGGTATCGAACCCACAACCCTTGGGTGCATAGGATCATCCTCCAACCAACCGAGTCACACTGGCCAGGACATGATGTATAATTTTTAAAAAATTAGGTTGTATTTGTTTTACTGGTATTTTTTTGAGGACAGGTATACTTATAAGACATGCTGGTCTGCAGTTTTCTTCTCTGGTGATGCCCGTGTTTGGTTTTCGTGTCAGGGAGAGAGGCTGGTTTCCTGGAATGAGGTGTGAAGCGTTCCCTCCACTCCTAGATTTTAGGTGAATTTCCGAGGAATTGGTATTAGCTCTTCCCCACGTACCTGCTGGAGCGACCAGGGGGCCGACCCTCGGGTGGGGCTCTGTGCGGGTTTGATGGCTCATCCGCCTCACCTGCTGCGCGTCTCTCCCGGTTCGCTTCTCTCCATCAGATTTTGGTTGCTTTTGTCTTTGTGGGGATTTCTCCGTCTGTCTGTTACCTAGTTAGTTGCTGTGTAGTTGTTCCTGATGCTCCCTCGTAACCCTTTCTCTCTGTGTAGGTCGTGTATTGTCCTCTCCCTCAGCCCTGACGTTAGTGACCTGAGTCTCTCTCAGTCCAGCTAAGGCCTTGCCCACTTGTTTCATCTTTTCAGATGACCATCTTTGGTTTCTTGACTTTTCTCCACCGTTTTCCAAGGCCGTATATTTTACAGAAGTAACCGGGCCAGCGGCCTTCTAGTGGTTCCCCTGAATGCCTGCTGTGGTTCCTTGGAATTTCGTCTTCTCTGTTTTTTCTGTGCGGCCAGGGCAGGCGCGTGGGTGGGCTCCCACTGCCCGGGCTTCCCCAGAACAGCTCTGCATTTGTCTGAGTTGTTTCCATGTAAAAATTACTCAGAAAACTTGGTTTACTGCTAGAACTCCCCCTTCACATACATTAAGTGAAACCTCACAGGACAGCAAAACTGGAGCTGCAGGAATTAACACTGGCAGGTAAAAACAGTCCAGGCAGAATGTTGCAAAAGGACGCATAGGATATTCATGTAAACTTCACGCACTATTAATTTCCCACATGTGCAGGATACTGTAACATGTTGCTTGGAGATACAGAGTCTTCAGTAGAAGCACAGACGGTTGCCAGAATTACAGACGTGGAGTCAGGCTGGCAGTTCCCCTGGGGAGGCAGGGAAAGGGCAGGGAGGCTCAGCTCTGTTGAGACGGACGCCGCGCCTGATGATGCGGAGGGTCGCGTGGGGATTCCTTACGTGTTAACCTGGCTTCCCCCCGCTAGCTGGGCGTGACCTGGGCGGGCTCCTTGAGCTTCCTGTCCCGTTTCCTTACTTTGCAGCTTCTGGAGGCCTCCCACGGTCCTGGCTCGTGGTCTTTTCCCTGCGTCTCCACAGCCAGCGTTGTAGTATTGCCCTGAGCATCGTTCCACAGGCAGGACTCCCTCTGACCACACTGGGGAAGTTGTCCCCTTGTAAGGACCTGTGATCAGGTTGGGCCCACCCGGGTAACCCAAGGTAAGCCCCCAAGGGCATGTCTTTACACACATCCACAAACCCCCTTTGTCCTGTGAGGTGACACAGCATGTCCTGGGATTAGGCTGTGACAGCCTTGAGGGGCCACTGTTCCGCCAGCCACACTGCCTGAATGACAAGGGAGGCCTCTGTTTCCTACAGAAGCTTCTACCCATCAGTAAGAACAGGGCGAGCACCCCTCAGAACAGTGAAGAAAGGGTCTGACGGGAGTGTGCAGAAGAGGGAGCACGGATGAGCAGAAGTGTTTAAAACTGTTCCCTCACCCGTCACCGAGGGGACACACCCAGCACAGACCGCTTTCCTCCCACCAGATCAGCAGCGATCGGCCTCCCGTCTGCATGGCTGTGGGCACGGGCTGTCCTGCCACTGGCTCTGGGTGCCAGCAGCCCTTCCACCTGCATGGGTTGTGTCCCAGATCCCCATGTCCAAGAACGTGTCCTGATGAGGCACATAGTCGTGGGCAGGTGTTTGTCCCCAGAGATGTTCACGGCTGTTTCACAGTCCCCGGCATTTTAAGCAGGCTGACTGTCTCGCAGTCACCGTTGGTTGCGTGGATCATGGTGCAGCCGTGTGGCGGGACAGAGTGGCGAGAGGTGATGCCGCCCAGGGAGGGGGCGCAGGCCGCGGCCAGTCGGCTGCTGCTCGCTCTGTTACCAGTTTCTAAAAACTTAAAACATTCAGAAGTAACGGTAGGGTTACAAGGAATTGCGGAGAAACGCGGAGGGAAGTCCTGGCTGCCCTTCCCCGCCGTCGAGCTTTTAAAGTCACGCGTGCTGCGTACCTTGTGGCGAAGCTGCCAAACGATGCGCGCAGTAGATAAATGCGTTTCAGTAAGTTGAAGACTAGAAATGATGTGGGGAAACAGGCATGATATATTGCTAAGGAAAAAAGGTACGGTTTTATTCTCTTTTGACAAATTAAAACATTTACTTAGGTACCAAACAGTCCAGGTCTGTATTTATCTTTACAGCCCACCCCAGGCACTGCATCAGCAGGTCCCACGGTCTCCCGTGAGGACCGCGTCTGGAGCGCGTCTGACGGGCAGGCCTCAGTCAGGAGGCTGAGGGGCGTCCCTGCCAGGCTGGCAGCAGGGCAGCACCCTGACACCCTCGCCCTCATCTCTCCCTGCCCTGCCATCCATCGTGGTGGCTTCGTTCCTCCTGCTTGTTTCTCACGGTCCCTCGGTGGCTGAGGACCCCAGGCCTCACACTGTGCTCCAGGCAGGAGGAGGGGAAACCAGGGGCCAGAGGCACTCCAGCTCCGTTGTCTCTGTCTGTTAGGCAGAGGTCAGGCTGCATTGCTGCCCGGCCTGCACTGCCACATGCCCCCTTGACTGGATGGCCCAGGAGGAAAGGGCGTGGGTGGGGCAGCTCAGCTGACCCATGTGGTTGTCTGCCACTTTTACTGCAATGAGCATAAGACTTTTATAATGAAACCACTGTCTTTTAAAAAATTGTACTTTGTAAAAGGGCTGTGGGTTTGATTCCTGGTCAAGGGCATGTACCTGGATTGTAGGTTCGATTCCCGACCCTGGTTGGGGTGTGAGCGGGAGGTGACTAGTCGATGTCTCTCACGTCGATATTTCTCTCTCTCTCTCTCTTTTCCCCTCCCTCCCTCCCTCCCTCCCTCTTTCCCTCTTGCTCTTCCCCCCTCCCTCTCCACATCCACACATACACTTTCCAAAAGAAATAAATAATGGCACCTTTACAGCAAAACTAGCGTAGCTGGCAGAAAAGCCAAGCCTCTGCCCCCAGCATCACCAGCAGGATGCGTGCAGGGAGTGCTTGATGGCAGGACCCCCAAACAATGCTTTTTTATGAGCCAAATTTGGGGGTAACCACAAGCAGATCAAAGCAAAAGAAATGCACCATAAAAAAAAGAAGGCACAGCTTTGAGCAGGAAAAAAGCTTGGAAATGTCCGCAACACCCTGCGGCCAGTCTGGCATGCACAAGTCAGAAAGAGAGTTATTTCGTTCCAAAGTAAACAACACCCTTTGTAGGGGGAAAGGCTGGATCCAAAAGCCACAGGCTATCTCCATAGCTGCTGTGTCCCTAAGTCAAAAACAAGGTGAGTGGCGTGGAAAGGACTCCTGACCACACACCCACTCTCAGCCACAGCTAAACATCTTCTAATACGAGGGAGGAGACTTTGCAGCACTAAACTCTACCTAGGACTATTACCATGTAGCAAAATCTGCAAGCAAAGTGGTGCTTGGCCAGCTGTTGCCCCAGAGAAAACTTCACAATGCATAAAGTTTGTTTCGAAAGATGGCCACTGCCATTTTCACATCTACCTAAAATAGAAGGGTGAGCTTTATTTGGACATCCATTATGTGTAAGATGCTCAAGTAAGGGAATTAGGGCTACCAAGATGATTAAACCTTGGACGTTGTCCCCAGTATATCCACAGCTCCCAAACAGACC